TATGGTGCATTCAGTTGGAGGCAATGTGATATTGATTATATAGTGTGTTCAGTACTAAATATAGCCCAACATTTAATGAGAGTACTCTACCAAATGAAAATTCTAAAATGGGGTCAGGCATGGATCATACCTGTAATCCCAACAAGAAGTGGAGAAAGGGAGATGAGTTGAATTCAAAGCCAGTCTGGCCTATGCATACTGTGTCTCCAAACAAAGAGGAAGAATGGGGAGAATGAAGAAAAAAAGAATAAATAGAAAAGATTAAAAAAAAAAAAACAAGGCAATTCTGAAATGGGAATTAATTCTAGGAAGTTAGTACAAAGCACAATCATTATCTGTAATGGACTATTTCCCAGGATGCCTGGCTGTCAGAGCTGAGTCCCATAAAGGATTATCCTCACAGCTGGAGCTTGCTGGCTGTGGTTTTTAGTCTTTATCTTAAGAGTTGTAGGCATTCAAATTTGCAAGATACTGATATACAAATATGTGTGCCCTGGCTCTCTAAGTGTTTTCCTCTCAAGATGTGTTTGAATTAACCAAAAGCACATGTCAAGTCTCTAATCTGATTTCCCTTTTAATGTGTAAGAGGATCCACTGTCCTTCTTCAGCACCGGTATGAAGGTTTGGAGTTTTGAGTAAGAATACAGCAGAATTCCTGTACTCTGGAAAGTTTCTGCAGACAAACATCTATAACTCACACATTTAACTAAGGTTTTACCACAAGGAAGCCAAAGACAAGCCCAGGAGAAAGGAAAAGGGGGATGAGAAACCAGGTGTGTTTTACAGTGAATTAATGCACTTTATCCTCAATTGTGATTGGTCTGTAGATATTACTTTTATTAACTCCGGGTATTTTTGTGTCTAAATCATGACAAGGGGAAATTAAAAGCATTTTGCAGCAAGCACAGGAGAGGTAATGTTGATTTAAATTAGGCAGACTATCTTATGGAAGCAGCATAAAGACTACACTGGAATGGCCTTCCATATTTTCAAATCAGCTCCTGCTAGAAGCCTATTAATTACATATCTTCAAAGCATAACATTGTGACATTCTGAATGTCACTTCCAAGATTGTTTGCCTATTAACTTCATTGGAACTTAATAAGTATCTCATTTGTTTCTCATTTTTCATTAACTTGCAATTTCTTCAAAATTATACACATTTTACATGAATCTGATAATGTTTATATAAAACATACACACGCAATCAAATGTGACACTTCAAATGTTGCCTGATTTAGCATAAATCCATGTTATTATTTGCATTTATATTGTGTGCATATTCACATATCATATGTGTAAATGCTTCCTGTGCATTTACTTTCAAAACATCTTTGAATTTGTGTTCTGCAGTTGACACCGCCATAAAGCAACCTCCCTCTCTGCAGACTCTCTGACGTACATACAAAGCGACTGCAGCCCTGATGGTTGCAGACGAGGGTTTTTCTCGTCTCTATTTAATCATAAAAATTTCAGACTCAGTGGCCCTATGCGTCCGTCTGAACTACCCAAGATGAAAGCAGGTATCCAACACTTGTGATCACAGAAATGGAGTAAGTTATTTTGGGCTCTTCTGTCCTAAGAACGAGGAAACAGTTCTCTGGGACAGAGCTCCTGACTTCTGCAGGCATTCAACTTGTTTCTCCAATCTCTTCTGCCACCACCTCCCACAGAATCAGGCCTTGCAGTATATTCCACACCAAGAAAATGCTCAGGGCCATTAAGATGGCTTAGCAGGTAAAAGTGCTTGCTGCCAAGCCTGATGACCTGCGTTTGATCCCAGGACTCACATGGTGGAAAGAGAAAGCTCACTTCCACAAGTATATAATTTATTGTAGATTTATTACAATAAGAATGTAATAAATTTAGAATGAACTTTTTAAAAAAATGAATAGCTCAATTACTATTTTAAAAATAATTCCTTTTTTTCTCTTTTTCTATTAAGAAATTTTCTATTTGTTCTACATATCAACCACAGATACCCCTCCCCTCCCTCCTCCCACCTCCCAGTCCTCCCCCACAACCCTCCTCCCATTCTCATCTCCTCCAAGGCAAGGTAGAGCCTGACATACTCAGTTGAGGTAGGTCCAAGCCCCTCCCCCTGCATCAAGGCTGTGCAAGGTGAATATGTTCAAGACACATTATACACATGGAATTTTCAAAGAATGTGTTTAAATTTAAAATAAATGCTTAACATGTTAAGCTACCTCTTTTCCCTTTGAAGAAAGGCTTCCTACACTACCTACCCTTCCTTAACTTAGGCCCTTCCCTGTAGCTTCTGTTCACTCCCCATCAGCCTCTCAGTAATATTATCTTAGGTCTTATCTCCAGTGCCTCCCACAATGCCCTGGTTGGTCAGCTCACAACAGACATTTTTAATTAAATAAATGAGGGAGAAAGATCATCATGGAAGGGACCAATCATTTTTGAAGATCTTCCAATCTAAACACATCATTCAAATTTACACCTACTTATTTGTTTTGACTACCCATCCCCTCAACACTGACACTGTCGATTTTTTAGCACCAATACTTATGTGTTGGATATAGTGGTGAACAATGTATGATTCATGGTCTCCAAATCCAGAAGTCCTTTACCCTGACACTTTGAAATATAAAAATGTTGGACAATTCATTGAAAATTCTCTGAGGGTTTTGGGTTCTTTGCAGAAGTATTCCATTATTAAATTGAAATTTTGTAACTAGCATTTACCTTTTGGGCACATTGAAAGCAGTAAGTACATCCCTCCTACTATAGTGAAATAATCTTATATTTTTTAAGGGTTTGCTATTTTTCCAGTGACTAAACTAGAATGAGAATAGTAAGAACTTCCTCATGCTGTATTCTCTATTCCCTGGAACTTTGTTTTTTACTATAACTTAAAGCAAGAATGGTTGTTGTTTTTGTTATTGTTGTTGTTTTAAAGCAAAAAGTTTAACTTGGCACATCCTCAGTAATAGAATTATTATTCAGCTACTCTCTCCTGCCACTGAAATAGCTCCTGCCAACCACAGTTAGTGTTTTTCCTTAATTGGATGCTTTAGAAAATATACAGTTAGAGCATTGTTAATTCAAAGCAAATTTGTAGCTCTAAGGACATAGACTGCTTTCCTCTTCTCCAGTGTGTTCCCTATTGATAGATGTGCCATGGTTTCAAATGCAGCATTTCTAAACCTTCTTTACCACATTACTATATGATTTTAACTAACGAATGATAAAATTATAGATGCAATAATTTCCATCTAAGTTATAAAGTTGTGTAGTATTGTCAAGGTGAAATGCTGTTTGAAATTTGAAAGAGATGAAGACAAAAACATTTTAACTTTTAAGTGAATGGTTAATTAAAATATTAAAACCATAAAAAGAGTAAGTATCCCCAGATGAAGTATAAGTCCACTGAAAATTGGAGACGTCAAGCTAGGGAGGTAGTTCAACAGGCAGAGTGTTTACTGTGCAAGCACATGGACCTGAATTCGGATCCTCAGCACCCATAGAAAAGCTGGGCACAGCATCATGTAATCCTAACACTGGAGAGACAGAGACAAGAGGATCCATAAGGTTTGCTGGCCAGCTGGTCTAGCTGAATTGGTGAGCATCAGGTTCAGTGAGTAACCCTGTCACAAAAAGTAAGGTGGAAAGCTATTGAGGAAAGTACATACCATCCTCTGGGTATCGACGCGCGCGCGCGCGCACACACACACACACACACACACACACACACACACACACACACACACACACACAATGTTACCTGGTTCTAGTGCCTGTACATTGCAAAGCAGTCCAGTTAACTGATTCTTTTTCCAAAACCAGTGCATCTCATCCTGCAAGGGAATAGTTATGTAACTGTCAATTACTGGATGGCAGAAACTTATTCCAAATTTCAATAATCTTGTGTTTTAATTTAGTCTTAATCCTTCAGAGTTATATAGACCTACCTTTCGAGAAATTAAGTGAAAATAATCCCAGTAAGACAATTTGCTGTTTAATGTAGAGAAAACCAAGGACTATGAGCACTCATTACAGAGAAAAATGTACATTTTGTGACATAAATATCAACCAGTAGCCAGCTGGATTCTGAAATTCCAGCAGGCTAATTATGTTCTAAATGAATTCTGATGCCTTGCTCTGATGACCCTTAGCTAGAAGACTGCAGACTTTCTCCGTGACTAATGTCACTGGGTTTTATTCTCAAGACATTGGTTCTTTGAACTGGTTAAGAACCAATGTGTAGATAATGGAAACTCTGGCATTTACTAGTAGAGTTTTTTTTTTTAATTGAGAGAATATATAAATCAACTATTTTCCAATGAATCAAAACGAGATTAAATAGTACCATAAGTGTCCATTCACATTTGGCATGATTACTGTATCTAACATGGAGCTGGAGAGATGGCTCAGTGGTTAAGAGCCTTGCTGCTCTTGCAGAGAACCTGAGTTTGGTTCCTAGTACTTATGCTAAGCAGCTCATAGCCACCTGCAACTCCATTTCCAGGAGATCCAATGCCCTCTTCTGGCCTCCAGGCTCCTACAAACATAGCAAGCATTCACAAAGACACATCAGTGAAAATAAAAATAATTTTTAAAAGTATGCTGGTGAGTATGTCAGTAATTATGTCAACTAAGTGCCACCTCAACTGGGAACGTGTACAAACAAGTGGGAACCATGGGGCTGGCATGTGGTTCTGCTGCAGAGTGCTTGTTCAGCATATACCAGGACCTGAGTTCCATCCCTAGCACAGCAAAATACAAAAAACTGGAACAACATGGCAAAACTGAACTACTGTGTCTAAGTACATCTGACTGATCCTGCTGAGTAGGACATTATGATTGTACATAAGCAAGGAAATACTGGGCGTTTGATAAATACTTGTCCAAGCCATTTCTCTCTGAATCTTAAAATCTTATTGTGCTATGCTCCTTTGAGCCCTGTGATTACAATGGTGCCGAGGGAATGAACTGTTGGCATTGACTGACCTGTTTCATTTGTGTGTTTTCAGGCAAATGGACACAGTTTTGTGCATATGGAACACGAAAAAGCTGTTTTACTACTGAAGAGCTTCCAGAACACAGTAGACCTAGTTATTCAACGTGAGCTCACTGTCTAAATGTTTTTATAAATAGTGAAGATATGTCAGGCCAGAGCTAATGTTCAAAAATAAATTTATACATAGAAACAAATTTTGCCAGTTGCTGGACCAATGGCAAACATCAGTGCCAGGTGTATAATATTGTACGTTAGCCTTGACTACCCTGAAAAATGTTACCTATAAACATGGCGTTCATGCGCAGTCCTGTATCAGTTCCAGCGGCAGCCTCTGGCTGTACATTGGTGCGGTTTTGTTTCTGTTTTTGTTTTTTAATCAAATAAGTTGTCTTCTAAAAGTGGATTTCCTATCATTTTGGAGCACGGAAGCACACACAAGCTCTTTACAAATTCTGCTCTCCATCAGAAATACTGCCTCAAAAGTTGTATATAAAGAATTGTAATCCCCACAAAGTATTTCTAGCACAAGGTATATGTTGGCATATATACAAAAAAGAATATAGAAAAACGATATTTTCATAAACATCTTGGATTGAGAAAGAAAATATATCTTAAAATAAGACTTTACTATATTGAATCTTTTTCAATAAAAATTACATGATTACGCCTTATGGAAGCAACTGTACATAAAGTATAAGGTATTTATATTTGGTTCCACAGCCATTTGCTAAATTCCCACGCAGAGTGAAATAGTTCATAAATTATCCATTAATCTCTGGGACCTGAGTAAAAATTGGAGAAGGTAAATCTGTTCAATGCCTTTAGCTAATTAAAAGGACACAAGCAGACTTTAGAGACAGACCACAGGCTGCTGCGGAACAGGTCTTCACCACAACCAGAAGCAGCGAGTGAGGGGTGGCAGGGAAGGCTTAATGCTTTAATGTTCTGTTTCCTCGGGGTTATGTTGACTATAAACTGTGGCCCCTGTGATTCCCTTACTGTAAATGTGGAACTTATCTGTGTGCTGCTTTATTTAATTTGCTACTTTTAAATCATTTTCAATGAATTTTGGGAATTGATAACATTTATTATAGAGAGAGACTTGTTAGAAAGCTATGGTGGGTGATTTCAAAACTTTGGTATTGAAATATGGAACTTCAGATATAATTTCTCAGAGCTGTGGTCTACTAGTATCATTAATCTTAATGCCTGGGGATTTTTTTGTAGACAGAAATAGACAATTTTTTTTTCTCCAAAAAAAGTTTCAAGAAACATAAACATGAATGCAATCATACCAGAGAATGAAAAAAGCCTAATGTACTTTTACATTGTGTTTCCCTTTGTGAAAATTCAAAATATGTTTTATAATCCTTTAAAGTATTTCTTTTTATAGTAGTCATTAATTTGATTAAAATATTAATTTGAAATTTCAGGTCGACTTTCCATAATTAGTTGTACACATTCCCTCATATACCTACATCATTTTTTATATAACAAATTTATCTCACATGCTAGTGTTTGAAATTTTACAATGCAATCACATGTGGATGTCACCAGAGCTCTGAGGATAATATTTGTAAGTTTATGTTTTATGGGGACATTGAAAATATTGTATTTTTGTAGGATCTATTAAAATGAGTGCCACTTATTAGAAGTACAGTGGTGTTTTTGGCATAGAATTTGTCACTTGGAGACAAAGGCAACTTCATTTACAGGTGGTGCACTAGTTTTTGTGTTGATTTATGTCAGGATGGCACGATACTGTCGTTTTATGGCTTTGACAATTAGCTACTGATTTGAGATTGACCTTTTTGGCATATTACACAGAAGCAGCTTTTAAGAGCATTTTCATACATTGAGAGCATCTAATGAGAAGTGTCTTTCAAACCCTAATTTTCTGTTTCAAAAGCTCATGGCACATCACCGTAGCAGATGTTCTAGGCTCAGTCTTAGTCAAGAGAAACCAGCCAAGCTCAGAACATAGTATGGCAGCTTGAAACATCCAGAAAGCACCCATCAGGGCTGTGTGGCCTTCTACCTGAAAGCAGGAGAAGGAGCTGGAGAGATGGCTCAGCAGTTAAGAGCACTGGCTGTTCTTTCAGAGGTCCTGAGTTCAATTCCCAGCAACCACATGGTGGCTCTCAACCACCTGTAATAAGACCTGGTGCCCCCTTCTGGACTGCAGGAACACATGTAGGCAGAAAGCAGGAGGCAGCCAAATAAATGCAGGGCTCTCCAGGTGCTTTCTTTTGTAGGAGCATCAGGTGCTCCTGAGGCCATCAGCTGAGAGGTGGTGACCCTTCCTTGATGGACAACATTGTCAGGGGCCTTGCTTTGACACTTCCTTCTGTGAGGCTCAGTAATGGGGAAAGAAAAAAGGGATTCCTGACCTCTTGGGGAAAATGTGGATATATTCCAGGTGTTTTAGGTTAACTCAGTGGAATCACTTGTGGTTGGGGGAGGGGCTCCTCATTGATTTTAAAGATGGCCTGAGCCAGTAATTCATTGATCTGGGGGTATTTTTATTTTTGAGTAACTAACTTGCTACCTGAAACTAGAATCTGGTTCATGTTAACATCAAATATAGAAGCTAAGAGTGTTAAAAGGGAAAGAAAGAAAAAGAAAAGTCTACAACACAAAGGAGTGAGTTCTCGGTGGCACCATGAAATCTCTACCTCTTGGTGGGTCCTGGATCTTCCTGCTGAGGAAGCTGCTTATAGACATGGATCAATAGGGTGATGTGGAGTAGGCTGGAGACATTACAGATGGAAAGGACAAACACTAACAATTAGTAGCCAAAATCTGTGGGTTCTGCCAAATAAACATAAAGGGACAATTTTCAAAACATCTCACCAGGCATACAGTACTTTGTCATAAACACTTTATTAAGGTGACGCCACCAGGCAACAGAAGCCACCAAACACACGTGTCCTGCTGACTTGGAGCCTGTGGAAGTGTGGCTGCCTCTCAGACTTGTAGTAAGTGCTGTCTGGGCTCCCCACCCTGGATCAGGACTGGGAACCACCACTGACTCATTTTCAGAGAGGAGTGCATGCAAAGCACTGCTGTCACTCTCTTTAAAAGTGGGGTTGAGCTACTTACCATGTGTGAGGTTAAGAGAGAGAGAGGATAGAGGACAGAAAATGATGAAGGACTTTTGATTATATATTCAAATATCAAGAGAAAAATTTCCAAATTTCTCGAACTATTAGATGGAGAAACTCAGAAACGATTAATTTTTAGTCATAGAACCTGCCAAATGTGCACACCTCGGTGTAAAAGCTTGGAAAACAGTGTTCTTCTCAACCCTTCTTTCCACAGGATTTGAGTTGTCCATCATCATTTTCTGCTTCTCATTGGCAGGAAGATTGAGAATGTCTATTCCAATGAATGCATTCTTGTGGAGAGCAAGAATATGACCTAATCAGATCAAAATTCATGTTGGTATCAGACTGCCACCTGAGCCATTAGTGAATTTAGTCATAACATGTCTGACTGATCCATGAAATGGTAACCCACCCACAGATTCACTGGAACACTAGATCAGTAAAAAGTAACAAGTTAGGAAAATAATGAAGTCCAGTCAGTTAAGATAGGCCCTTCAGTACAAAGACAAGCAGCACTGAGGGGCCAACAAAAGCCCCGTGGCACAAATACTTCTTTCCATGGCTTAACCAAATGTTCAAACACCAGTTAGTCATGCACCCACTTTCCACCATGGGTGCAGCTTCTTGACCAACCAGGACTTTGGTGGATTTTCTAGATTCAAGATTACTTATACAACTTTTTTTCCTTAGCAATCCTGGGAGAGGCATTCTGCCCTGGCTTGGAACATGAGCCTGGATCCCCTGAAAACATGCTATGTCTCCCAAATAGAATGTGGGCTGAGGGTAATTGGGTGTGTTCTGTGGAACACACACAGTTGCCGGCTCTCCTGCATGTCTGTCTAGCTCCATTTTAGTCCACAGTATGCAGTGAGTTTCCCATGACACCCATGGAGAGACTAAGGCAGATACAACCTTGTTTTCAATTCTGCTCTGGCACATCTGGGGACATTTCTGCTTCTAGCATGCAAAGCTGGTCTCCTCTCATGGCTGTTGGCCTTCTGTAGACTCATGCCCTACCCACCCATGCTGTTCAAAGGAGGTAGGTGTATGTTTCCATCCCACCGAGGCAAACACATATAGCCTCCAAAGCTCTAGCTGCCAGAAGACCCAGAATATCAGCTGAGGGCTTCCCCCACTGTTCGAGAAGAATTCTCCTAGGGGAAAAGTCAGTGCTTACCACACCACTGACAGCAGCAAACAGCTCATGCACAAAGGTGTGTGAGGGTGTCAGTGCCTTAACAAAGCCATGTTTTCACTTCCATGTTTATTTCTACTGTTTGCTTCTCTATTCTAAGTGTTAGATATTTGCCATACTAAGGGACTTTCTCTGAGCTGCTTGTATGCATACTGGGGCACCTCCTAGTCTTCCCAACCTTTAACACTGTGAGGAAATTATCCAGAAACACTCTCCTGTGAGGACAGAAACTCCTGCCTTCCATCCCAAAGAATCTGAGAGTTCTGGAACAATGAAGAGGAAAAACCACTTTAAGAGTTTATTTTAAAACCAACAGTGAAAACAGAGGAACCTGGGTTCCCTTGCTTTCTCACTATATGATTGTCTTGATTTTCCTAGAAGCCATTTTTTTTGGGGGGGAGAGGGAAGGGAAGGAAGGACATAAGAACTGATGGTTTTAACTTTTGCAGCATCTTGACTGCCTAGGTTCTGCAGATGGATTCTGAAACATTCCCTAAGTAGGGCGCAGAATTAAAAGTGAGAGGGTCTGTTACCAGCCTGTGCAAATAGCCAGGAGAGAGATCTGAGATACACCCTTTCTTCTAAAAATTCAAAACACACTCTTGTTTTGGCTTGACTTTGTTCATGGTAACACCATAGAGAGTTAAGTGTTGGGAAATTTCAGGCAGCATTTATGTAGAAAATGATATAATCCTGTGGCTTTTTTTCTAACACTCGACTGATATAGAACTGACCAAAGCAGAAGCAATGGACCAGACCCCAATACATGAGTTTCCAAATCCAACATAATTCCCCTTCTTTATTAAAAATGACTGTTTCATCCTTTAAGCTGTACCATTTGTATATATCCATCTGTATATGAATTGGTGGGGAAAGGTGTTTAAAATGATCATTCAGTATTTCCTTCCTTTGAAAGTTTTTCTCCCACTTTGAACAAGTGTATTATTTGTAGGGGGTTTTTTCTATTTTAAAATAAAGTGATGATCATACATCCCACCACACAGACAGACATCTCTCATCTAGAGGAAAATAGCTCACATTGAGTCTTGTTTGCAACAGCAAACTCATATACTTCCTTCACAATAGGTTAGCTGATCTCAGAAGCCTAGAGTAAATTATACAGTCAAGGCATTTAGAGATACATTATTGAAGATTGTAACAAAAAGCATAAAGTGCAAGGATTATAAATTTTATGATAAATATCTGCTGAGCGCCACTATGCATCGGGCCTGATAGGGACATAGCACAGCCCCTCCTCTGCACAGAATGTCATAGTTGAGTGGAAAAAGAAGCTGCAGATGGAATGAGACAGTCTGATGAGTCCTCTCTCTCTGCCCTTACCCTATCCCATGGCTGATGGCATCCACTCTGCCCAGGCTGGAACAGTACTTCAGTTGGAGCTCTCCTTAGGTCTCCCTACCAGGTCCTAGGGCCACTGGGAGGCCATTTCAAGTGTTTGTTGGAACTTAGAGAACCGTCTAACAGACTGGTCATGGCCAGATTGAAAATATTTTTGCACATGGGAAACAGAACCCAGAATCTCTTGGATTTTGGAGGAAGGGCCGTGTTTTTGTCAGTTTGTTAGCAGGAAAGAAAACAAGGGTTGTCATGGAGACCACTGTTCCTCAGTCTGGCCCAGTGCTCAGCTCCATGCTCTGGCATCAGTAGATGCCAACATCTTAACAGACACAGGAAGAGGGGGGGGTCCTTCCTGTGTCCACTGCTTCTAGGACATACTTTCTGTGTCCAGTGTTAGAATTATCAACTCAGAAAGGCAGTGAATAGCTGAGTGTAGTGGCATACACCTTTGATACTAGCACTTGGGAGGCAGAGGTAGGTGGGTCTCTGTGAGCTCAAGGCCAACCTGGTCTACAGAGTGAGTTCCAGGACAGCCAGGACTACATAGTGAGACCCTGACTCAATAATAATAATAATAATAATTTTTTTAAAAAGGCAGTGAACAGGGGTCAACATCCAGCTGACCACCTTTCAGACCTATGTATTCCCCTGTGAACTTAAGAATACTGTCACGACCTGGCCTGCTGTTTAGCCCATCCCATGATCAAACTGCTTGTATGCTGTTGGCTTGTGCATATCTACACATCAAACCAACCATCTGTCCTTCCCAGGAGAGCTGGGGCCTCTGGTTGTAGGAATGGCTTGTTTCTCTTCCCTGCCTGACCCAGACTGGGTAAGGCTCTCGCCTTCTGTGTGCCCCAGTGCTTTGCTGCCTTTGTACACATTGGCACTTTGCTGGCAAGCTTCCTCTCCTAGCCTCCTTCCCAAGTTACCAAAATCATATTCAGTCTTCAGGGTCCTGCCTACTTGGCACAGCAACCATGAAGTCTTCTGTAGTCTTAATGGGGAAACTGTCATTACCACCAACATGGTGTAGTCTTCACTCTACCTGAGCCCTGTGCTGCTTGGTCTGTGTTAATTCTCTATCGAGTTGAAGTTCCTTTGAGAAAGAGGGATAGACAGTACTTAAGAGGCCTTCTGGACAGTATCCCCAGAAGAGCACATCAATCCCTCAGCCTTTCTTAGTGCCACAAGCATAGTGAGTGACATACTTAACAAATAATGGCTTCAGTGGGTGACGGATGCTTCTCTGTGTAACCTTAAATGGTGAACCTATTACCTTTGGCCTCCTCTGTTGATTCATTATTCCCACTTTTATTGGGGATTGGGAAGTCCTCTATGCCAAATTTCCCCCTCTCCTTGCCATTTCTTTTCAAAGCCTTCAGAATCTTTGTGCTGTTCAGCAGTTAGCTTTCATTTCCTTTTTACATATTCTAAAGATGCCAGCATTGACCAAAATATATAAGTGATTTGGTTATTCATTGGGAAAACATTTTTATATCCTTTTAATTAGTTTGGATTTTGTTTCTTCTGGGGAAAAATCATGCATTTAGTTGTCAGAAATAGCCCAGAGACATGAAGGATGATGTTGAACTCAAAAAGCTGTGGTTTTAAGCATCTTAGAGACCACCAGGCCCAGAACCCCATCCTGGCCATAGCTCTCAAGCCCTGGTGAAGAGACTGTGAAGGCTGAATATGGTTAAGGCTGCCCTTAGACTCATTTAATATAAAGATCCTTCTACCTTGTATTGTGACTAGGAAGGTTGTTAGCTATTTTTACAATATGAAGATGAGAAGAATAAAGAATACCCTAAAAGAAAATGGCACAAGAAATTCAGAGAAGAAATGAGGTTCCCATAGTCAACAAGGCATTTTTCTGAGGTAAGTGCCAGTGTCAGACACTTACAGCCACAGGAAAAAGCTCGTGGAGAAGTGAAAGTGTCTATCACTCCTGAGACAAATGAGGATCTGGAAGGGACAGCTAACACATTATCCAAACTTCCCAGAGAAGGGGCCTCTCTTAGCTTTGTGTCACCACCACCCACCAACAAAACCGAGGAAGAATAAATTATGTGTTGCTTTTCCCCCAAAGCTTCTCATTTTGAGGTCCTGGTTTCAAGTCTGAGATACTTGCTGTCCTTGCAATCATTCTGACATGCCCACAGAACTTTTCTTGAGGAACATGTAGTTACAAAGAATCACCACCAGGTGGAGAGCGTCTTCCTAGATTTAATGTCAGAGGCTGAAGACGTCTTCACAGCCGGTTCTTGTCTCTGGGCAGATGGAGTAACACCCCTTTCCACACTCTTTATTAACAATTATTTATAATTATGCTCTAGGCCTAAATGACACCAATGGATTGTGTATCTTTTGTACTAAAACGCTCAGGTTGAATCAACTCCCCAGAGTGCAGATCTCTCTCTCTCTCAGCCTTGGACCAGTGTGTGCTGAAATTCTGTTCTTTCTTAACAGTTCAGTAAGCACATCCACTGCTTTCATAGTTTTTCTCTAGCTTGCATGAGTCTTTCAGATACTTTGTGCTAATCTCCCTTATTTTATCCACACCTCCCATCAGTTGACATGGAAATATATTTGCTTTAAATCATCATAATTTACTTTGGAAATTATCTCTCCAAAACTTAAGCTTCAGGAATCAAGTTTGCCTGAATGGCCTCTCCTATGAAAAACTAATCAGGGTCCTGCTTGAATGTACATTTCCAGCTGACATCTGGTGGTAACTCCTCTATAAACTCACCTTTCACCTTATACATGTACACATGTATTAACATAACATTATAAAGGAGTTTATTACATAAAGAATGCATTTTAAAAAGCTTCTCATAACGTGAAAATTGGGTTCCAAGAAAGGCCTAGCTAGGTAAACCCACCCCCCACCTCTTTCAGTCAGAATATCCATGTATTGAAAGCAGAATCTTGGCCACCTTGGTGACATGCTGTGATTCTGAGATATTCAGTCTCAGGGCCTCTGATGGCTGGGTCCTGGTGAAAGAAATCACATTTAAGTTAAGGGTGTCTTCACCATCTGCCCGGACTTCTACTGTGATGATCCCATCAAAACCCCAGTGGGCTTCAGACTCCCTCTACGGACACTTAATCTGGTCCTCTTCCAGCAAAAGAAATCAGAAGACAGGATGTTCTTCCCTGAAGCTTATTAAAACATTAAATCCTGGTGTTTTTCTCTAAAGGAAGCTTTCTTCTGGCCACAAGGTCACCAGCTCCTACAGTGAGCTCTTAGCAGATTCTGGTCAGCCTCCTTAGGGGGCTGGGGACTAATCGCTGTGACCTCAAGCCTGCTGGTTTTATGGCACCACTCAGGTAGGCTCACCATGCTAGCTTCAGCTTCTCTCAGGAGGCAAAGAACCCCTGAGCCAGCCTGGACTTGAGCAGTGTTACTCACCAGCAAGCCACTGGGCCTCTTCTTTTGGAAAATATTTGGCTTCTTAACTTGCTTTCTTCTCTATTTCACCATTATCCTCCTTTCAGATTTTCACGGGCTTCTAAAGATCAGTTTGGTTGTAGAACTAAACAGGAGAATGAAAACTGCCCGTCCGCTCTCCCCAGTGCGGCCTTGTCTCCCTTGTGGATCTGGTGCAGTACTACCGCTCAATTTTTGGTTCAAACCATTAAATATTTTGTTTCATTTTTTACTTGTCCATATAGTAATCTTAGTGTTTTATTCCTGAAACAGTCTCTCGGTCAGCAACATTCCTTCCTTATGCTGAGATTATGATTGCCTTAGCGCTTAGGGCTCAATACTTTCATTTTCTAGCCTGCCAGCTCTGATGCAAAGTGAACACTCTCTCTTAGTGTGAAGGGCCCAGGGCTGTGCTTTCAGCTGTGCAGAATGGGAGTTACCCATGTTGGTTCATGGAGTAGCCTCAGTGTGGGAAAAGAAGTCTGCAAGAAAAACTGTCACTAACTTAAGGGGCCACTAACACCTTCCCTAACCCTGTCCCAGGTTGTCACCTCCTGTGAGAGATAAGTGAGTGATTGTGATCTGCAAGCTTCACTTTATTGATGTTCATTAAAGCAGAATTCTAAAAATGGGAAAACCATCAGGCAGCTGGCAAGTCTCAGCCTCCTCCACACTGTCATGGAAGCTGTCTTGACCAGTTTTCCTCCTGTTTGTTTGAAACCAGCTGGTGGTAAATGCATTTGCATGCAGTTCTTCAGCCTTACTGTGGGATCATTCAACTTGACAATAAGTATTTTGCACTTGATAGAATCTCGAAGATTTCTTCTGACCAAGAGAGACTCCAGCAAGTACTACCCTGGTGGGTGCTTTATACAATTGCAGATGCTGCTGCCTAAACTCACATCTCTGTGCTTGCCTCCCAGGACAAGTCAGATGTGGGAACCAAACCCCTCCAACCACACAACCACACACACACACACACACACACACACACACACACACACACACACACACCGCACCTCTCTCCCTCTCAGAATTAGTACTCCTTTTTTTCATTTCCACACTTCTCCACAGAATCTGGGCCTGTGGGATCTAGGGCCCTAAGTCATCATAAGCAGCTCAAAAGTAATTATTTTCATAAACATTCCCACATGCTCACTTAAAGCAGGATATAGACTCTTATTTACTTACTTATTGAGAATGCTTCCAAACCTGTAGTGTGAATAGATGTAGTTCAGGGACATGTTTACTGTGGTTTAGGATTCTGTACCTGCAGAGCATGCAGATGCCCCACCCCTGAGCTGCACCCCAGCCCCTACAGAAGTGCTGCAGAGGCTGTCTCCAGAGTCCTCTGGACCATCATAAGTACAGGCTTCTAGTCTGCAGTGTTAATACTTTAAAAAAAAAATTTATCAATGATTTTTCAAGCCTTTCTTTTTCTTGTTGTCCTATCAATTAAATCCAATAAACAGAGGCATATATTCAAAGCTCTACTGTGGGAACAGTTGAACATACAAGTAAGTACTAGCCCTTTCCCAGTCAAACAGGGAGACAATGCTTAAGAAGTCTAACAAACAGCTGTGTCTGAGAAAAATGTGAGAGAGAGCAGAGAATAAATATATCCTCAATGTGTCTCTCACTCTGACAAAGTAGCAAAGGATTCCTTTCGGCTTCACTGATTCAGTGTGGATATGGAACATTCTGGAAAGCCAGCTCCCATTTCTCATTTGTGTTTATTGTCCAGAAAGGACAAGTCTCTGGAGACAGTTGAGGCAATACCATCCAGAATGAGTCATATCAAGCCTGACTTGCCACTCCTTTTGATTCAGTCCTTCAGGGAGGCTGCCCTTAGGGATCAGTCAGAATGCAAGATTAGGGCATCTAAACATTTTCTTTTCTTTTTTTTTTAATTAATTAATTTATTTATTATGTATACAGAGTTCTGCCTACATGCATGCTTACAGGCCAGAAGAGGGCACCGGATCTCATTACGGATGGTTGTGAACCACCATGTGGTTGCTGGGAATTGAACTCAGGACCTCTGGAAGAACAACCAGTGCTCTTAACCACTGAGCCATCTCTCCAGCCCCTAAACATTTTCTAATTAGTGCACAGATTCACTAAGTCACTACAAGGTAAACTCCACATTAGCTCCTAAGAAGCAGTACCTCCCCAGGTTCCCATGGGGGAGTCTCTCCTGCCATTGCATTACATGGCAAGAACAGGTGATGTTTTTGTTTTTGTTTTTTGCTTTCAGCAAAACACTAGTTTTCTTTGTTCCATGAGGTTAAAGTTAGAGCCCCCACACCCGTTAGGATTAGTCTGGTTTTGGGACAGCACAGATATAATCAGTAAGCATTCAGGTGTGGCGGCATAGCTACCCTTGATGGGACTTAGTGAATCTGCACATTAAATTAGAAAATGTTTAGTAGAAACATGCAGCATAGCTGCATTTGAAAATGAGATTGTGCAGGCAGATCTGAGTCAAGGCCAACCTGGTCTACAGAGAGAGTTGCAGGATAGTTACACAGGGATACCCTGTCTCAAAAAACCAAAATAAATAAATAAATAAATAAATAATAAGAAAATGAGTGTGTTTTGAAAATACTTGAGTTATTTCCTGACCTCCAGGTGCCACTTTGAACATGACAGACAGCCAGGTAGGGAAGCATTGAAACACCTTACAGGTGTGTTGGCTAGTGTGGAAAGCCCACTTGTAGAAAGTCAATAGTGCCTGCCCCATAGACACTGTCATTCCACTCTTAAGTCAGTTTTTCAAATTCCCAAATGTTTGTGGCAGCGAAAAGCAATAAATAGCTAAGGAGACTGGTTCTTTTTTAATGTATAGTGCTGCATCACAAATGATCAAAAACTGCAAGTCATGTCTGCCACACTAAGATACAAGACATAACAGAGAATCTTAAACAGCCACATGAAGAAATGGAGAGAATAAATCAAATGTTTAAAAAAAAATAGAGCAGGAGTTTGGGAGATGGCTGAGCAGGTAGTTGGCCTGAGTCAGGACCCTGAGCACACAGCAAACTCTGAGCCTCCTGTCGTCCTCTGGCTCAGAAGGTAGAGACAAGTGACCCCCAGGGCAAGCTGGCTAGCTGAATTAGCTTGGGCTTCGAGTGGAAAGCCCCGCTCCTGTATATAAGATGGAGAGTGATGGAGGAAGAGGTCTGACAATAACTTTGGGCCTCCACAGGCACATGCACACATGTGCACACATGCCCAAAACACACACATGCACTCAAAACACAAGCAAACACACATGCACAAGAAGGTGGAATCGAAGTTTAGTTCTTAGCACATTACAGCAGTTCTAATATGATGGAACTCTTGTCTGTGGGATGGATGTGGTAAAATTACTATAGACAGTAGATGGGTAGCCTCTCAGAGGGGTTGAAGTTTGCCCAAAGAATGAGCTACCAGAAGAGTCAGTTAAAGCTTTTGAAGCTAGTTATTCTTCAGTTTAATCATCACCAACTAATCTTCCTCTAGACACGAACTGATTTTAGACACCATACATGAATAGAAGCAGCAATTTATTCATTGTGCCAGCTTCATATCTACTTCTGAAGATCTCATGACATGCTTGTCTCTCTCAGAAGAGATCTGCCTACTGCCTTTAGAAACATCAGAGCTCCATGGGGCTGTCAAGATATGTCCCTCATCAGATTATTCCATCCTGACCTTCATTGGATATTAGTATAAGAAATATAGTCTGCATATACCAGGCTTCATGCTCCAGCCTGTTTACCATCCTGAGTGTCTGGGTCCCTCACAGATTTCAGAACTCTCTGAAGGACTCTGAACACTGCCAAAGGCTTCAGTGAGGAGCTCTAACAAACAGGTCAGGAAGTCACTGGTAATCATGGCTTCGAGAAATGGATCCCAGGATGCTGCTTCAGTCACAACAATTTGCTGTTAAGACACTAACTGCGTGACCATGGCTTAGCTCTTGACTGTCCTGACTTCATGCTTGGTGGATGTTCAGTTTTGTCATGTGTATTTGAAAGGTCACCCCAGGTGAGGGCAAGTGAAAGATTTGGAAATTAGCCTTCAGGAGGGTCTGAGTCATCCCTTGGGCCATCCTACATCTCACAGTACATTTCAGGATCAGGCCCAGCTAAAGCTTGTGAAAAACAGCCTTTTGGTTAGCTGGGAGGACAAAGAGGTGGCTCCCAGGAGCACAGACACATATCCACCTCCCTCATATCAGGGTTGAAACTGCTAGGTAGGTCCACACTGCCAACTTTCCAAGGTCCTTTGTCTGGCTTGAAGTTGGCACCACCAGAGGGTATTCAAGGAGGCTTTCTTTGACCAAGTGAAGAGAAATACTTATTTCCATGAGAAACTAAATCCTCAGTTACTTATGGGTTGCCTGGCCATGGGGGAGGGGAGAGGAATTTGTAAATCATGGCTTTTGTTACTGTTCTTTGGCTTTTGATTTTGAATTCTTGAGAGGCTGCTTCAAGCAATAACATGAGGTATGCAATAATCCTGTCAGGTGGTATGCCTGGGCTTGAGTTAGAGTCTTTTGCATGTTGCCTGTTTACCCACACAGTTCACATAGGGGCTAAAAAGCTTAACTTATCAGGGATGGAACTAGGTTTTACAGAGTTCCTTTAACCAAACAAGCTTGCTACTTTCTCATTTCTTCCTGCATCTGCCTTGGGACTATTAACTGCAAAGTCATTCTGGCCATTTTCATTGATGTCATCAGATGAGAAACACTTTCTTTAAATCCCAAAGGCTTAAACAGCAATGTAGAAATCAACTCCTTATCATTTTATTATTCCAATCTAATTCCTCACTCTTTGTCATATTTTTCATTTTCCTGCATCAGTTCCCATGGTAACAAGTCTGTTGGCAGAGAAAATGCAACTCTGCTCTTAGCTTTCAGCACAATGTAAAATCCTTTTTAGGTAAGTGCGACATAGACAAGCAGAGACTGGAGTCCTCTTGCTAATAACAACATTTTCTTACCTCTTATATTCACTTTCCATCCTGTCCTCAAGTAAGGCTCTCATGTGCAGAGGCCTTCCAGGCAATCACAGTTTCAAGGACTTAACCTTTGAGTTCCTGTGGCTTCCCTTTTCCAAATGTCAATAAGGCGAATGCATCCATCAAGGCTGCACAGAAAAGCAACTTTCAATCAATTCCTATAAAAAACGCCCTCAGTATTTCTGAGGAAATAATCTGTCCTGAACTGAGCCTTAAATCAGGGTCTAATGCCAAGATAATGAAAGGCATTTAAGCAGATTTCTTCCCAGTAAATAAATGCAGAGGCCAAGTTCTAAGCTCTTGAAAAGAAGTGAAGACTCAGGTGTGGAAAGCAGACATGGGCCTGGCAGCTGCCTGCACACAGGGGAGCTTCAGTGGAGACAATTCACTACCAAGTATGAAAAGGCAAGCAATTGCATCTGACTTGGTGAAGTATTTACACCTGCGATCCCAGCAATGAGGGGCTAAGGCAGAAGTGTTACAAGTTTGAGGCCAGTCAGGGCTACATAGTAAGATCTTGCAAGGACTGGGAATGCAGGTCCTAGAGATCCAATTCCTAGCACCTAAAAAAAAATCTACTGAAGCAAAGGAAATGGGAGTGTAGAGATGGAGAAAGGGGAGAGGAGTTTGCAGAAAGCCCAACCCCAAGATCAAATGTTTTAAACTTCAGGTTCCCCTGTGGCTTGGCACTGGCAGCCCCAACTACTGCCTCAGTGCCCAGGAAGCAAAAGGGCTGTCAGAAACTGAACAGGAATTACCCAAATATGTGCAGATTTAAAAAAAAAAAAAAAAAGAATTAATTCAGGGGAATGAAAAAAGATATTAAATAAAATGTGGTTATCTCAACTCTAGTTAGGAAAACGATCAAATGTAAATGATCTCTTTCTTGCTTAGTCTATGAGACACTTAAGCACCAAGTTAGCTGCTTATATTGTATAAATGTATTTTTGGCTGTTCAAAGGTTATTTTCCTATATTAAAAAGTTTCTTATATTAAAACCTTTTATTATAACTCAGGTTTTGTGTCTCTTAGACACACATTTTTCTTTGCTAGTTTGTTTTGCACAGCTGGAGTCTGAGGTTGGATGATGCCTGGGTATGACAGGTCAGCTGAACTGCCTGATAGCTAGACTAAGGAAAGCACTTGACACGTGGGCAAACCACATGGTTTTTCATAGCTTTCCACTCCTCTACTAAAAAATAGTTTGCCGGGAATCTTACATGATTTTGTTTGTTTTTGAAAGTCTCTGGAAAAACCAAGACGAATCTCTCAGGCAGATAAAGAATTTCCTGTATTTGCCCAAATGTACTGTTAAAATAAATATTACTTTCAATACTCATTTTTCCACTCAGAGGGCACTCACTGGTCTCAGACCAAGGAGACGACATCTGGCTTAGATCAGGATAACTGAGTGCTGTTTTACTCTTAGGAAGCTTTGTTATGCTTTGATGACAGCGTCAATGGAATGTTTCGTATTTCTGCTCTGATTATTAGACATTTCCTTTGCTTCCCTCCTCGCAAAAGCAAGCCTTACTATGATGTCTGTTTGAAATAAAGGAAAAGGTAACTAACAGGCAAACAACACAACTTTGGTTAGAAGAGGCAATCAAGTTCTTTTTGCACTCAGTGAATGGAAGGGACTGAAGGCGGCTTGAGAATGTGCCACTATTTACATATGGAGGGAAGAACTCTCCCCAGGGCCAGCAGGAAGCCAGAGGCAGATCTATTGAATGTGAAAAGGGTACTGCAAGGTCACTACAGGTTACTAGAAGAACCAGAATTTTCTTTCCTATTAGCAGCCACCAAGGGCACCCCACACTCAGCTGTGTATGAAAAACTATGAACTGTGGTCTCATTCTTTTCAGAAAAGAAATATTAAGCATCAGAACAGTGATTCTGATGGAAGACAGTGGTGGACTTCCAAGCGGTTTGCAAAGAATTATACAAACAGACTGCAGACTGTTTTTTAAATATTCATAAAATTTATTTTTCATTTTCAAAACTATTTGATCAATGATTTTTGTCCTTAGTAATTTGTGGGAGATAAATCTATTTCTTTATTCTGTTAGTTCAAATGTTTCATGTGTCAAACACACACAAATTCCTGAGGTCATATAAGCCAGTTATTTAAATATTTCACTCTCATAAATGGTATAAGAGAGATTCCTAAGTGGTGATGCGGCTTCGGGTCTCTAGACCAATACTCTCTGATGGGATCTGGCTTCACCACACAAGTGCAGTGCCCACGTAACATATCCACAGTAACCAGGGCTCCTCCAGTCAGAGCTTAACCTGGGACCTCATTCCTAAAACTGTTCTAGCTGACAACAGGCAGGTGAAGTGCTCCTTCTGTCCATCCTTTGCTGTCTATGTGGACATTTTGATGTGTGTCAGTGAACTGACATTCTACACGCTGTATATAATTGCATGCATTTCACGGCAGTCTATGGAGACTCCCTTTGTAGAGCTTTTATGAAGAACCAAGAAGCCAGGGCAGTTTAGCAAATGAGGCTCAATATTTATAAACTGGGGCCTTTTCTGTCTCTTTGCTAGCCTCGGTGGCTCTATACAAACTGGGTGGGTGGGGGGCAGCAAACACCTCACACATCACATTTAGATTTTCTACTTGGGTGTACTCTAGCCAATTCAAAACAAATTGCTTACTTTAATAATAAAGTTTACCATTTTATATAAAAAAATCAAACCATGATATGTTTAATTGAAATGGCTGTATTGTAATTAATATTTTGAGATAATTGTGATTTTGAGCTTAAAATTATATATAAAAGTTGTCATTTTTGTATGTGTTAAAAAATGTACCATGATTAACAGTACTTTTTAGTTGAACTACATATTGATGTAAATAAAACTGAATGAAGAAACACTAATTTACTAACATAGATTGTGAATGTACTTCATGGTTTTTTGCCATATGAGACCATAACAACCTTGAAAGCTGTTTAATTTAATGTGCAAAGTTCCACTAACCTGTATTTCAACTTTGCCAAGCCAGTGACTTTGCAAGTGTGATCTGTACTCTCCAGCTGTGTCTTATGCTCTAACACTATGGGTTAAGGGTAGGGTATAGTCTGGAAGCATCAGCAGATGCGCTTTGTACAGATAATAGTGCTGTGCAGTGTACAGCAGAGCCATTTTTTAGGTTCTGTTGTACTCAAATTTTTCAGTATTTAAAAAAGTGTTTTGAATAACATAAAAGTCTCTTTATTGTATAAATAATAAAATATCACCTTATTACATGGTGTCTGGTTTACTATGGAAACAGATTCTGAGATAAGGAGCTGTGACATGGAAAAGGCGTGTTTCTTTTTAAAACAAAAACACTGTACTAATAGCTTTAAAAATGTAACTTTTATTAAGAACATGAAGCATGTATCTTTATTAGCACTGATTTTTCCTAACATCAACAGCCTCAATCACCTGCAAGTTCTCTACCTCCGCCCGCTGACACATGCTACTACTGAACTGGCTTCTTGACACAATCATATGGTGAGCGAGGATGGCTCATAAACCTGCTTTTGATAATTTCAATGTAAACAACAATGTTTATATTTGGTTTTTATTAAATCAAGCTTGCTTATAACTAATTCCCTTTTAGAAATTACTGTAAAACTGCCAGTCTAACTTTAATCAGGCTGTAAGCAGACTTTAGAATCACGGTGTTGGAAATAGGAAGATGTACCAGGTCAGAACAAAGGACACCCACACCTTTTTTGAAGTTTAAAAAAATTAAAAGTCACAACCAAAACCCTAAACATAAACATGCATTGACACTGACCACACAGTAAGTCCTATCCTGGGCAATGAAAAGTCTCATTTTCTTTTAAATACCAAAGAATAATACTTAATAAAAATTTGCTGACTTACACCTAATACACCTAGCTCAGTTCACATTATATGGAAAATAAAAAGAAACCAGGAGGAACTCAGATCTAAAGATGGTTGCCTTATCATTGGGAAATAATAAATTTCATGAAATAAAAAGTTCTTGCAATGTCATAAGGGATGAGTTTGCAAAACATTTAAGATGTGTTGCAGTTAACATCATTATGAATGTTCACAGCACTTCACAAACTGTAAACACTTAGTGGGAATGAATATAGTGACACCTGGAATACAGCAGTCATTGGAGGCTGACTCTGTCCTGTCCAGAATAAGATGTCAGCTGTACTCAGGCAGGAATTCGATCTCTCAAATACTCCAGCACAGCAGCTGTGCCTTTCATTAATATGGCTGCTCGAGGAACTCGGAATGGATTCCCATCTAGCAGTAGTGTTCTAAATGAAAGAAACAAGAAAATTAAGCATTTCCTATTAGTGATTCTCTTTTCATGAAATAAAACTATCGTTTGCAATTTTTTAATGTGTATTTTTCCTTATGTGTCTCTTACAAATCCAACTAAACATAAAGACAGCTGGAATTATGACAATATCCAACAGCACAGGGTGACTGTCACATGAAAGGCACATTATAAGTTTACATTCATTGACTCCGTTGATTTTGTTTTAACAGACTTATGGTATAGGTATCGTTAATATTTCTATTTTAAAGACAGGGAAATACAAATCTGGAAAGACAAAGAGGTGTCTAGAATAAACAGCTGCTAAATGGTGGAGCTGTGATTTGAACTACTGGTTAGTTTCCTCTTGATTTTACATGACCACACACTAAATAATAAAATAGATTTAAGCAAGTGAATGAGCAAACTGACAAGGAACCATGCCAAGGACACTGCAGTCACAGCTCACTCTACACCTAACAAGGGCCTTCCACACGTCTGCCCTCCTTTCCCAGACAAGATGGACACACACAGAGTGTGTGTTTGGAAATAAGACCCAATTTACGAGTTAAGGGCAGATTCTGTTGTTTCTTTATGGAATTAATGAAATGTCTTCAATCAAAAGACTTTAATAACCTAAGTTTTTATGTAAACAAAAATCAAAGGGCTCACACAGCATTATAAGGTTCATCTACATTTCTTCAAATATTTCCATGTTACTCGGGAATTCTTCTAAATAGTTAACTTTCTTAGCTTCTGGGGAAAAAAAGAATTGCAGTTGATTCTCACAGTGCATAGGTTCTATATCTGCAAATCTACCCACGCCAAATCTATCTGGTACCCCAAATTACTGGATTTGCAGCTATGCCCAGAATTGGAAAAAATTGATGCCAGTCAAGGGTGTGAGTCCCATGAAGTCCGATAGGGCATCTGCAATCACACTGCAATCAGGCATCCTTCCTGGGGCCCACTCAGTGCTAGTTTGCAAATTCTTGTACTTTTGGTTTATGATTTTACTGTTCAAAATGTTCCAAATAGCCAGGGGTGATAGTCCACACTTATAACTCTAGCATTTAGGAAACTAAAGCAGGCAAGTACAGAGCTCAAGTGTAGCCTGAGCAACATAGTGAGACTCTTCTGTTTCAAAAACTAAAATAAAAAAAATAAGATAAATAAATTAAACAGCCTCCACATGTAGTTCTAAAATGCTGTTTAGTTTCCAAGGGTACAAATGTACCTATAGAAAAACATGCTAAATTTCTTTCAGGCATAAATTATAGTGGCATATTCATGAAGTAGTAATAAATTAAGGTGTTATGTACTGATGGGGTTCATAACTACAGCAAACACTGAGTCTTGTTTTACAAATACAAGTCACTGTATTTGTTTCCAACAATTCACTAGAAATGAGGTGCCAGGGCTACCCCAGTGAGGTGAACAGCCAAAAAAATAACAAGATGCTTTCGAGAAGGAAGTAGCTTTCAGCTGGCATCTCAACTCCGCCCCCCACCTTCTATTTGCTTAACCAGCATTTAATTAGGTGCTTAGAATAGTTCAAGCTTTAGGTCAACTCATTTTTGGATTAAAAAAAAGTAAAACAGATGGACCCCAAAGCACAGTGGGATTAACTCTGTGTGTAGAAGAGGAATGCTTCAAAGGGGAGACCAAGCTGGTCCCTGCTGAGAGGAGAGAAAGGGCTGAGATAGAAGCAAGTGAGGAGAGAAACCACAGGAGCCGAGGGTAACGCTCTGTAATCTGACCTCAGAAACCCTGAGCAGGCTAAGGAGGGTCAGACCTTCCTGACCTTTGCCCCAGTGCAGTTCTGGGTGAGCATATACCACACTATATATGCATATATACTATGAGAAATAGTATATTTATACATATATGGTGTTACATAAAGCCAGAAAACAGCTGGTGAAACTGAAAAGAAAAATTAGGTGTTTGGTTAACTATTACAGTTACAAGGTATTAAGACTTATTTCAATTTCCTGCAAGGAAAAAAGCAATCAACAAATCAATTGGAAGCCCTGCAGAAGGGAAGCTACCTTAGCTGCACACAGTTCCCAAGCTCTGGAGGAATTTGCAGGAGGTCGTTGTTTTGAAGGTCCAGAGTGCTCAGGTTTTCCATCAGCTTCATCTTCTGAGGGTCCACAGAGCCAACCTGATTGTTGCTGATCAGAACTGCTTCTAATGTGGGGATATGATATAGAACTGTAGGCAGCACTTTGAACCTATTAAGATACAAACAGAACACCTCTGTAATGTGGTAGAGGTCAAATTTCTCTTAAAAATCGATGATCTTAAGTGTGGTTTAAGTCCTATATTCAACTTTTCCAGAAAATAAGAAACTAATTTTGGAATACATATTCAGCAGACATAGAAGGTACTATTGATTGCAAAAATCAAACAAAAGCTGAGGCTAAGTCCCCCACTCATGGGTGTGACATCTCTCCCTCTAAAGATCTCTTAAGGCCGCCCTCAGGTGCGTGCTCTTTCTTAATTTACTTTTGTTTATCATTAATCACTTCTAACTAAGTAAAATGCAAAATGTGAGGTTTTTTGATTTAACTTTGTTTGCCCAAGGCTTCTGGACAAAGGCACTCTGAGTTCTTTCGAAGATGAGTGACTGTCACAGACACTGGCTTCATTGTCCAAAGCAAACTGTCAGATGCCAGAGACAGGTGCTCTTGGCTAACATCTGGTTTTCAATGTTTACCTCAGGGCATCTCAAAAGCTCTCCATGCTTCCCCTACAACATCCACAATTAGTTAGATGTTTATCTTCCTTCTAGACTGGGTTTCTCGGAGAGGTAGAAGGAATAACAACAACTACAACCAGCTCAGCATCAATCATGATAAATCTAAGCAACAATACATTCAAGTAGAATGAAATGAAAATAAAATCTGCTAGCAAGATACGGTAAAAATAAAGGTTTTTATTTAGCTGGCTCCCAAATGTTTTCTTACCTGTTAAAAGAAAGATTGATTGATTGTAGTTTTGTCAGTGATGACATCTCTTCAGGCAAAGAACTTAAAAAATTATTCCTAAATTGGAAATCAAAATAGGATTTTGAAAACTCAAAAACTTTTACAAGTTTAAATCCCAGGAGGAATAAAAAAAAACTCATGTGTGTTTGTCAATTCTTATTAATCTGATCATCTTAGAGATGCCCCTAAGAAGTGTGGCTCAGTGTGTTAGGAACAGAAGTCACTCTCCTGCATCCTTCTTTCCCTGCATCTTCCTTTTACTGTCAGCAGAAGCTGTGCTGCAGAGCCCACAGATGTCCTACTCTTTCTTCCAGTCTTTCTGCTGTCAGACATGAAAGCAGACTTAATCCTTTAGTAGAGACTTCAAGGCAGTTACAAAGAGAGACATATACACAAAAGCCTGGGACACAACAACAGCAACACCACCCAGACAGCAGCCACAGGGACTTCCCTTCCCTCTGTTCCATCAGCTTTTAGATTCTGACACCTCAGAGCAGAAAAAGCACCACACTTAGTGCAGGCAGACCCTCCTGCCTCAACTATACTTCATGCCAACTAAAAGTACTCCTGCTAACAATAGGAGGCAGTAGGAAGAGTGCAGGCAATAGAAACACAGTTTACAACAGACATGATGTTAAGACCCAAAGACAAATGCTTTGTGACCCTGAGACACTTGGTGTCACTATACGAGCTCTCTGCTTCTCACTGCATTTGTTTAAATCAAGCTTGCTATGATTCCCAGAGCATAAGGCAGGCTCTATCTCTGCTCCAGTCAGGGCTCTTCTGCTTGGCTTCTGTCTATTTAAAGTCCCAGTGGGACGTAAGCAGGCTCCTCAAGGGCCTTGTGTAACTGTAGAGCTGGTCTGGAATACGTTATCTACTTCAGGAACAAAGAACACGAAAGAGATGTTTTCCACGTATTAACTGTCATTTTACTTAGGCATGAATTTAAAGAATATGTTAATTAA